ATATTTTACCCTCTCTTCCTCTGGTAAAATACAACAATTGTTATTGCTTAGATTTAAAAAAAAATGTTCCCCAATGTCTCAAATATTCAGAGGTGTGGCTTTTGGAAAGCAATTTTTAATGGAGGAATGGGGTGCATCAACAGATTAATCCACTCATGTGTTCATAGCTGAATGTGCTCTTAAGGAATGGGACCGCTGGGAGGCGAGTTACTGTGCAGTGAGGTGGAAGGGTGTGTTCACCCCCTGACTTCTCCCTTCTCTCTTCCCAATTTCTGGTTGCATTGTTTGAGCAGCTCTCTTTTGCGATGCCTTTGAAATGTGCATTTCTGCCATGGATCCAGTAAACCACGCAGTGGATTCCCTGAAACTGTGAGCCGAAGGAGCCTCCCCACTTTAGGTATTCATTTTGTTTCTCAGTGATGAAAAAGTAATTCATACAACAATGCAGAAGAATGTATGAGAAGTAACTTCACGACTTATGTCTCTGATTGTCCAGTGATTGGGTTTAAGAGATAAACATTGATTCACTCAGTAACAGTTCTGCAACAGACAATACCCAGAACTTTCTTCTCCTTTGACTAAAACATCAGTCAGATTGACTCAGCTTTAAAAATTTGATCACAAAATAACTTTTCACTAATTTACCAACACAGATTCTTTCTCATTGTTGAATTTCATGGGTTAGACACTTTTGTTTAAGTCTAACTACTCATTTTTTCACGAAGTCTTAACTTCTCAGCACAATAAAACTATTGATTAGAATAACATTTTCATGGGTTAAATGAATACTCTTTCACAAATAGTCAAATTCATTTAGTCAAAGTAGAGTGAAATTTAGTCTCATTTACCAATAAGTTTCTCCAAAAACTGACTAAGGAGCAGAGAGGAAACTTTCTAATGCCAGTTCTTCCTCTACTTAGCAGAACACATAGAAGTATTTCTCAAACTGTTTAACTATTAGGTCCATTACAAAATGTGAGGATTTCAATAAACATCGTCTATCATCTCTCCCGTCATTTGATCTTGTTCTCCAGTATTCAAGAACATCCCTTCTTGGTCTAATTCTGGAAATATACTAAATACAGCACAGTGATGGGAGATGGTGGCTCTAAACTCTGAATTGGCTTATCTCTAGATTGTTGAAGACTAGTTATATGAGGCTTGGTCCTTGTGGACTTTATGGATCAATTAGAAGAAAAGTTGGGATAATGAGGGGTTGATGAGATAACCTTCAGCATATGAAATACAGAGCCTGAGGGAACCAATTGTGACATGTCTTACTCTGCTTTTGCTTGAACAAGAAAATTGTGAAGGATGAAATTTTAACTAATCAACATGAATCCAGCTATGTCAGAAGAGAGGGCAGTGAAGCTGTTTTCCAATTTGGGCTTAGAATCATCAGAGGAAGGAACAGTGAGCAATTGTTGCACCTGGTACTTGGTGGTTTCTCCAGTGATTTTGACAGATGAAGAAAGCCTTCTGATATAGGGCACATATTTCACTTGATGTGGTGCCTGTTGGCAAGGGACATGGTCCAGCTACACTGCCCTGCAGTGCCACTCTATAGGGCAAACTTTACGGCACAGAAACAGTCTGCAGAGAATGGTGCCATGACAGAATTGTTTCGCCTCTCAAAGCACAAAGTTAGAGAGTTCTCACCATGTGAGTCTAAATGATGTTAGTGAACAGGAGAGATGTATGTTAGGTGTAGCTAAAGGAGGAATTTTGGAGAGACAGTTTCACTATGATAGCAGCCTTCACTGCTCACACCGTACAGCATTCCATAACAAACTAGACATGATGAGTGGTTTAATGAGTAAACAGAGGTTCTTTGAGCCTCCTGAAACTGCACAGTGTGCTCTTCCTGAAGGCTGTGTTTATATACAAGAAACTGGATTTCTTGGGGTCTGGAGCTTCCTAGTTAAGTTACAGAATAGAGGAAGGAATTCCATGTACTGAGGACTTCTTATGAGTTGAGCACAGAGCCCAGCTAATTACTGTCTGCAGCTCTCCTATTAAGTTGTGGGAACACAAATAGCTGAAACTCAGACAAAATTTCCATATATTCAATGCTTCAGATCTCAGGTAAGCAACAATGTGCTTGTATCTACAGTATCCTGTTGCCAAAGGAATTAAGGTTTTTAGAATAAAAAGGAATAATTGGCACAATTGCCTTAAAACTAACTTTATACTCAGAGCTGAAATGTAAACATTAGAAAAATGTGCTTAAATACAAACAGCAGAAAATGTAAAGAACCATGAAAACAGCTCTCACATGGAATATATAAGCATTCTTTGTGTTCAGTGCTTACTATTGAAAATTCAGCATTTTCAGGGTTTTCCAAGAGAACTTTCTTCCTCAGAATTTAAACCTGGGTGAAATACAAAGTAACAGAATTTCCTCCCCAACTAACTCTCTGGTGTTCCATAAGAACATAGGTGAGCATAAATTTAAGACTGATTTTTTCGTCATCTGACCACAGCTCATGGGTTTGGGCTGTCATAGAAGGTTATTCCTAGGGTGGATATTTGTTTGTTTGCTCAGGAGAAGGTGCCATTCAGGATCACCATGCAAAGGGAGAGCTGGCAGCATCATTCACAGGACACCTCAGTGCCTCTTTGGAAGCCAGCTGTGCTGAGGGGCCGGGCCTCCATGATTCAAGGCTGTGCTCTCCATTGCCAGAGCCAGCTCCAGCTGCTCTTACTGTCTCATGACTGCCCTCTTCCATGTGTCCTTTCCCCAGCTACCAGTTCCCCCCAGAGCTTCCATTGTGACCTCTGTGTGAACTGGACCGTGGCACAGCTGATTTCCTGTCAAACCCAGCACAAATTCTAATTACTTTCTTCTTCTCACAGAAATGGCCCTAAGTCTATGCTAGAAGATGAATTGCTTATTTCTGCTGTCCTTCTGGTTCGAATGTCTTTCCATCCTATGCTTTCTCCTTGCCACTCCCTTTGAGCAGGACAGTCAATCCTCAGACTGGTTCCCTCAGTAGCTCCATATTGGGGCTGTTGTTGTTTATATCACATGTCCCTGGAAAGCCTCACTAGTTACAAAGAGGTCTTTGGGAAGTGTTTGGAAGACAGGGACAGTGTGTCTGACTTGTTTTTAGGAAGGGTTTGGCTGGAGGGACCAGGTTGTTGTGGGGATGACCCCGAGGGTTGCATCTCTTTTTCGGGCTTCTCCATGGATTCTGCTTCTTTACTGTTGACAGCAACCCTCGGTTGGATCCACTCACAGATCCATGCTGATTCATTTCAGCTGCTGTCACAACTGACCATTGAAGTTTAGTACAGCACAATCTACCATGGGTGGACTTCCTAACCAGGCACTTTTTTTAAAGCATAGTTTCCAGTGGCAATTTGGTGAAGAGTTAACACATCTTGATCTATTCAGATTACATTAAAAAAACAATTATATATATATATATATATATATATATATATATATATATGTATGCATATAGATACATATATTTCCTATTGTTTTCATTTTCACACCAAAAGCAAATAATGAAACAGTGCTCAAACTTTAAGATTCAAATCACAATAGTTTGATTAAATAATGTGATTAAAAACATATATCAAAAAACTACATTAAATCACAGTAAGAGAGTTATTACAATTATAGTTCTTGCTTCTCATTAATACTTAGAACCGGGCATGCCAACACTAAACACTAAGAATTGCCTGGGGGTCTTCTGTATGTAAGTCCATTCTTTCCTTGCAGTGAAAGGCCTCAGGTCATTTTCCCATTGTCCAGCTCCTTCTCAACAATCAGTTTCTCCTCTGTTTCATTCACAGAATCCACAGCTTCACTGCGTACTTCCCTCTGACCAAATGGTTCAAATCACCCGTCCGGCTCTTCACTCTTAATTTCGAGCATAGATCCAGCCAAAAGCTTTGAGCAGTAACCGTGCCACTTTTTAAAGAATGGACTGCACTGAAATTTTTCTGTGACCCTGACAACATCTCTAAACAAAACATAAATGAACACTGAGATTCTGAAAAAGCACAACATACACCATCTGAGATCCAGCAGCCCATGCAGCCCCGCTCGGTAGAAGCTTCCTGAGCCACTGCCCAGCCAGCAGCATTTCCATCAATGCTCTGAACCTCTAGGCTCCAAACAGAGTTCCTCACATGGTTCACAGTATGTCTGGGCTGCCCCCTTGGTAAGTCTCTCAATATCTTTCGAAGTTAACTCCAAAAGAGCTTCAATCACAAGGCCAGTCAAAATGGAAGAAATGACCCCATTCTCAGTACCTGTTTTGTTATAGTCAACTTCACAAGGAAATATGTTTAATACTGGACACATAATTTATTTTGTAATATTCACCCAAAATGTCAAATGCTGAAAAGTATAATAGATTCCTCCACACATGAAAGGTTCAGGGAATCCAGCTGAGACTGAATTTCATGGGGATAGCCCTGGATGCCATGGTAATCTCCTACAGAAAACCATCTGGAGGCGTAGAGCCCAGGACAATGTGTCATGCAAGTCTACATTGAGGAACCACACGGGGAAGGCCCTAGTATCAGTGGTGGTAGGAAGAAAGTCTGAACCAGCAGGATGAAGGATCTGGTAACTGACAGATCTGCAATGAAATCAGGAAGCAACATGCATGGTAAGAAAAAGAGCTCCTTGAAAGAATACTACAGAGTTCGCAGCAGAAAAACCATTTTAACACATTTCTCCAGAAGAATCAAGAGCATAGGATTATCCAGCATACAACTCCATCTGGACAATTTACTTTTTAATTTAAAATATAATTCTCATTGAAAACAGACTACAAGAAAATAAACACACTCAAAACTGGTAGAAAATAGATCACAAAATGGATATTTTACTTATTCACATTTACAAGACTGTTTTTCCACACGAGTACTTTTTCACTTTCTAAATTTTTAGTTATTGTAGGTACAAACTAACTTTTTACCGATTGCACATTACACAATGGGCATGCACTGGAGTCCAGGAAACTGGAGCAGAAATTTTCCTACATTTTCATAGAGCACATTCTCTGAGTCATTCTCCCAAAAGCTCCCATCACCTCCTTGTTCCTCAGGCTGTAAATCACAGGGTTGAGCATTGGGGTGAGGAAGATGTAGAAGACAGCCAGGACCTTGTCCTCTGCTGGAGATTGGAGAGACTTTGGGCGGAGATAAGTATAGGCAAATGGTGCATAGTAGAAAGTCACCACAGTGAGGTGGGTGCTGCAGGTGGAATAAGCCTTTTTCCTGCCCTCCTGGGAGCGCATACGGTAGACAGTGATCAGGACCCGACCATAGGAACACACAATACCCAGGAAAGGAAACACAAGAAAGAGGATGGTGCTAACAAACACAGTGTATTCGTAAACCCTGGTGTCCCTACAAGCCAGCATCAGCATTGCAGGGACATGGCAGAAGAAATGGTTGATGGCCCTGGATCTGCAGTAAGGGATACTCAGTGCATATACTGTGTGAGCACAGGAGTTGACAGCACCCATTGCCCAAGATCCTAGGATCAACACCACACACACTGTTCTGTTCACAACTATTGGGTAGTGCAGAGGAAAGCAGATAGCCATGTAACGATCATAGGCCATAGATAATAGAATCAGTCCCTCTGAACCTGCTAAAGTCACAAAGAAGAAACTCTGGATTCCACACCCAATGAGGGAGATGGACTTGTTCCCAAATAGAAAACCGGAAGCCATCTTGGGGACAGTGGTGCAGATGTACATGAGGTCCATGAGGGAGAGCTGACTGAGCAGGACGTACATGGGAGTGTGAAGCTGGGCTTCCAGGAAGATGAGTAGGACCATGATCAAGTTGCCAGCCAGGGCCATCAGGAAGATGGGGACAATGAGCGTGAAGAGGACAAAGCCAAGCCTTGATGGGGGGAACAGCCCCAGGAGGATGAAGTCAGTGGAGATCTGAGTGTAATTTTCCATGCTGTGTTCCTATGGATTGTCCTGAAGACAGACACAGAGTGTACATGTGCAGATCACTATTAGCCAATTTTTAAATTCTAAAGTTTATTAGTTCTGAATTATGTATAAAATGATTTTACCAGTTTTTAAAAATATCAGTTTTATTTTCCCCCATAAATTGATGTTTTATGAAACAACTATTTTTTTCTCAATACATTTTTAGAAACATCAAAAATTACAGAATACGAGTACTTCCTTTATAATCTGAAGAATGTGAGACCAATTTAGTTTTCCTGTGAACTTATAAATCATCAAATTCTGATATTACATTATTAATATTACAAGTGCAGTATAGATCATGTCATGAAAAAGTTTTCCTAGTCTCATGGTGCGACTTTTGCTTTCACAGTTATTTCTTCACACTTACTAGTAACTTTTCAGCAAACTGTTCCTCATTTAAAGAAAACGTATTTCTTTTTTAGAGGTCTTTACCCAACAATCTTCATGTGAAATTTCCTTCATTCAAATGTCATTGTGTTCACTTGCATAGAAATCTGGAATTGAATCTTCCTGTCACAGACCTCTTTGATAAATTCATGGTGACTCCTGCTCTTGAGTTTAACTTCAAGCATCAGTCATTCTCTTCCAACAACTCCCTCGGTATCTGAACGCTAACAGTGCTCTCCACGATTGCAGAAAAGGCATCACATTGTGTAGCAGCCACTTCAGAAGATGCTCAGGGTCAATAATCCCATGGGAAATGTAATGGTGAATCACAGTGAGATGCCACTGCACATTCCGTAGGAAAATGTGATCAAAGAAACAAATAACAAAGGATATTATTTCTTTAAAAGGATGTGGAATATTTGGACATCTCTGCACTTTTTCGTCCTCATTTCAAATGATACTGCCAATACAGGATCATGTAGCTTTAATTCAGAGATTAAATGAGATGTGAATATGAAGTATTGATACCTCCTTTGGCTGTTAAACCCTAGGAGGTATTGCAGACCATCAAATTATTCTTTTATGCTCTTTTTAATAGCATCAAAATTCTTAAGGATCACAAAGCAGGAATGCACTAATTCCGAATCCAAAGTGCTATCCACAAACAATGTAGTGTGTGTGCCCAGTGGGCTAGTGTTCCTGTTTGTAAAGGGAAGAAATATTGACAAATGCTGCACCATGCATAAGCACTGAAGACATTACACTAGGTGAGAAAAGCCCATCACAGGAGGAAAAAACTTTGCATGAACTTACTTTACTGAAATAGAGTATAATCATGAGTGTTCCAGGCTGAGCACAGGGGGAGAGGATGAAATGTGACTCAGGTAGTACAAAGTTTTAGTTCATATGATGGAATATTCCAGACTTGGAGCTAATACCTGTGCTACAGTGTAGGTTACTCGATACCTCCCAATGTACACTTACAAATAGTAAAATCCTGAAATCTACATGCACAACTTTACTGTGATATAAAAGTCACGAAATTATATTGACTAAAATTATTTCAAATTTGGATTTCCAAATATATTTTAAGGTAGTTAAAGCAGTATCTCAAGCCATGTGGGGGCATCTTATATTCCATTATTACTAGACCTTGTTGTCATTCGCAGATAAAAGTTTAATAGAAGAATTTTTCCAAAGAGATATTAGAATCCATGTCAAAGCATATTAGATTAAAGTTATTCTGATTAATTCATATAATTATTTTTTAGTGATAAGAAGTAGATAATATGACTGGAAAATAAACAAATGCTAGAATAGATATGATATGCAGAGTGTATCTCATGAGTGTCAATTCAGCATCTACGTGATTATCCATATCCTGATGTGTTACTATTAAAATATAGCACAGTGTCATGATGTGTACAGTATCATGTTGTGTATGTGAAATTCCAGCTCTGTACCTGACAGAGAAGCACCTTCAGTCATCAAATTGTTTCACTAATTAAAAAAAAAAAACTTTTCTTATGCAAGAATAATTTTTCTATATTTGTATATTTACTATTTGATTTCTTTAGAGAAATTACTAAAAGGGAACTAACTAAAGCACATTTTAAACATTTCCTCTTACTTTGATTTTCTTATATCCCTGTCAAATAGTGGAACATGGACCTCAGCATTGCCGACATAATATTCTGTAGTGACAGATACAACACTATCCATACACACATACAAAAACATATATAAGCTTTTCATATAAATGGGATTTAATGCAAACCTGTAATTGCAATGTGCAGGTTTCATGCACAGAGAAGTTGTATTTAAAGAAATACATGTATGCACTTTCAAAATTTTTAAAAATAGCACGTCTATTATCTTTCAAGTATCTTTAGTTAGTAATGCTAAAATAAGTGAGGCTCACATTTTAATAACTCCAAATAAAAAGAAAATGAAAAGAAGACAAAATACTAAAACAGAAAATATAGACAAGTGAGCAAAGATTTTAAAGCATATTAAAATTTCTTTAAATAGAAGTGACATTATTCTACTGATAAAATTTGGCATTGTGTTTACTAAATCACTTTATTTTACTCCTTTTACTTTTTCTAGCAACAATATGCATATGCTCATAGAAAAATGACTTTTTAAAAGTGTAAGTAAGAATCTGTATGTTATTATCAATGACAAAATGTCCTAATAGGAAGATTTGATTGCACAGAAACATTGTTGTGAAGTCCACTGTTAAGTCAGGTGCATATTAAGCATCAATAATAAAGTTCTCCAAGTTCTGCCCACATTTAAAACAAATTTTGCATTTTCATTGACGCAAGTCATTTGACTGCATAGATTGCCGTTTTAGCTTCTATTCAGAATTTAAAATAAGATACTAAAAATGTCTCTTGTGATTCTCATAGAAATGAAATACATGGATTTTTGCAAAGTAACATCCTTGTCATAGCAGGAAAACCTAAAAAACACACACTTGAGTCATTGGTGACAAATAACAAAGTGAAAATAGCTGGGAACCAAGGGGCAGTGCCCCTTAGAATGTGCACTGACCAGTTTTCACTGCAGCACTCTGCTTTTGATTAATGGAGTCCCAGAAACACATCTTTACAGAGTAATGCTACTTTCCTTGTACCTTTTCTGATTGTTTATAGAAGTAGAACATGACTCGGAATTTCTCAGAAACAGGTTTTCTCAGTTTCTCAGTGCAAGTCATTTTATGTGAAACCAGATTCAACTTTAAAAACTTATATATGAAATAAACTGTCAAATATCTGAAAACTAATCCAATAAATAAGTATACATTTTTCACATTCAGGAATCATGCAACCATTTTTTAAAACTTTTATTTTATTTATTTATTTATTTATTTATTTATTTTATCTTTTTCCTTTTTATCGGTACCGGGGATCAAACTCACAACTGCCTGCTTGCAAGGCAGGTGCTTATGCCGCTGAGCTAAATTCCTAGCCTCCATACAACCTGTTTTACAGAACTCTGAATCATTTTACTCTTTGCATGACACCTGAACTATCCACTGTTCCTAACTTCCACTAAGTGACGCTTCTGCCTCACTGGTCAGCCTCAGGATGGAGTCAGTTTTATGATAAGGGCCTTGATGTTACTGATTCTGGAAACTCCACCAGAGCTCCATACACAAAGCTAATCTTACCTGAGCCTGCCTATCTCCTCTAAGACACAGCCTACATTTTCCTTAGGTAACTGGAATTCACCAATTATAAAATGGTTAATGAAAAGCTCAGATAACAGATTGTAATCCAGGGAGGATTGTTTTCACAGTGTGAACATGAAGACTATGTGCTTGCCCCTTTCTGTAATGCTGCCTGTGGTTTATGCCAAAGACAGAATGAAGAGAGCACAATGTTCTTTACAATTTCACTCACTAATAACAACTGGTCTTGTTTCGCATTTGCAGCTTTTTGATTTTAATTTTTTGTCTGTGATAAAGGACGAGTGTTTAGGGTATGAACAAGACTGCAGAACCAGTCATTATTGTTGTGTGCTTTCAGACTTCTAAAGTTTTTTTTTTTCTTAAAGTTTTATACCTCCAGGAAATTCTACTATGATGAAACAGAATTTAATAAACACATAAGGAAATACATGCAGAGACAGTTTCTTTGATATGCAGAAATTGATTGCATTATAGTATTCTAAGTTAGCTAAGCACATGACAGAATTTTTCCTTCCATAAAAATTAAAAAATAAAGTAAGTTGCAGTATCATCTTACCATAATCCTTTGAAAATCTCAATTCTATTGTTAGCGGTTGCACTGACCAGCTTTGAGCTCGCTGGGAAATATTCCAGTCACATTCAGCATAAAGAAGAGAGGTTCAATTTGTCTCTGGTTGAACTGGGTGGGCAGCTGAATTCAAGAAAAAATCTCACACCTGGAGTTTGAGGAGAAATAAAGCAGCACAGTCTGTGGTGTACAAAGCTGAGTGTGTGGGTCAGAGCATCACCAAAAGACCTAAGCTCCAGAGTCAGACACCAGCATCCATCTTCAAGCCCACCTCCATACTGACTCCAATTTCAGCTATGAAATCGGTGTGCTAGTCCACTCTGTCTCCATCACCCCCATGCCTGATCACCTCTTCTGATTTCTTAATCCAATCAAGATTACCATTAGCCCAGTCACAAGTGAGCACCATCATTCATCTGAGTAATGTTTTGGAGCACTGTCCTAGCAAATGTGCATTCTCACCTCTCCTTCTTGCACTTGGCATTGCAGACACCTCCAAGCAGAATGAGCTGCACCATGAAACCTCTCCCTCTGTAGCTGTGGCCTGAGTTTAAGGATGGGCTATGGAGCTGAGGAATGTCCACTGAGACCAGGACAGGAGAGGGCCAGTCACAGAGGACACAGCCTGGCCCAAGGCCAAGGTGAGGGCAGAGTCCTTATGGTCTCTGAGATCTCTCCTGGCCACCAGGGCTGATGCTGTGGAGAAGAGCAGACAGGATCATTGGGAGCATCCCGTCCTGTCCTGCCTCTGAGATGCCGGGCATCTTTGTGTCCGTGGTGTAATTCAGTGCATGTGTGGTTATGATT